AAGGACTACAAATATGCCTTGGAACGGGTATGTGTATGGGCCATGCCAGTTGCATTTGTAGCAAAAAAAGTCCTTATTGAAATCCATGGAACAATTACAGGCCCCAGGAAAAAGTATCAGGAAGAGATGAAAGTGTCTTGAGCTCCAAAAAACTGACAAGCTAGAACATCTAGAGAAAGAGAAGAGCTGGAACAAGCTCTAACAATAACAGCAGCACTCTTACACAGGAAAAGCCTGGTCCAATCCAAACAATTAAAGACAATCCTAACAAGTTGAAACTCTGTGTAATCATTACACAACAATAATAAATGACAGCTAGATCCCACATACTGTATTTCCGGAATTTATGCTAAACTAAACTAAGTTCATGATATCTGAAGAACTCAAAAAGGCAAGAAAGAAATTCACTAGTACAGTAAATGAAGAACTCTGCAGCACTCACACTCATCACAAAGAGGAGAAAGGGCAAGCATTATTCTCTTCCCATCATCTGTATCACAGCATGTGGGGATGACAAGACAACCCACTTACCAACTGCAGCAAGAATAAGTGGCTTTCAGGAAGCCTTCTTTAACTACTTTGACTTGTCCAAGAGAGCTGACTGCTATTTAAGCAGCTCTTCCTCCATGCTCAGAATTGGTGCATCCCCGTGAGTAGGAAATCAAGTAAATGAGGCAAGAGGCCTGCATGGATGAACAAGGAGCTCCTAGTGAAACTCAAAGAAAAGAGTAAGCTCCATGGAATGTGGAAAGAGGGTCAGGCCACTTGGGAGGCATACAGGAATGTTGCCAGAGCATGTAGGGAAGCAACTAGAAAGGCCAAGGTTCATCTAGAACTAAGTTTGGCAAAGGATGTCGAGGATAACAAGAAGGGCTTCTTCAATTATGTCAGCAGTAAACGTAAGACTAGGGGTAATATGGGACCGCTGCTGAACGAAATGGGTGCCCTGGTGACAGAAGATACAGAGAAGGCGGAGCTACTGAATGCTTCCTTTTCTTCAGTCTTCACTGTCAAGGCTGGCCCTCAGGCTCCCCAGTCCTTGCAGGTAAGCAAGCAAGCTTGGAGAAAGGACGACCTTCCCTCGGTCGAGGTGGATCAGGTTAGGGATCTTTTAAGGAAGCTGGACACCCACAAATCCATGGGCCCCAATGGAATGCATCCACGAGTGCTGAAGGAACTGGCAGACGACATTGCTGAGCCACTTTCCATCATCTATGAAAAGTCATGGAGAACAGGAGAGGTGCCTCAGGACTGGAAGATAGCCAATGTCATTCCAGCGTTCAAAAAGGGCAAGAAGAAGGACCCAGGGAACTACAGGCCGGTTAGTCTCACCTCCATCCCTGGAAAGGTGGTGGAACCACTCATTCTGGTTGTCATCTCCAAGCAAGTAGAGGAAAAGAAGGTGATCAGAAGTTCCCAGCATGAATTCACCAAGGGAAAATCATGCCTGACCAACCTGATAGGCTTCTATGATGGCATGACCAGATGGGTAGGTGAGGGGAGAGCAGTGGATGTTGTCTACCTTGACTTCAGCAAGCCTTTTGACACTGTCTCCCATAACATCCTCATAGGAAAGCTCAAGAAGTATGGGTTGGATGAGTGGACAGTGAGGTGGATTGAGAACTAGCTGAATGGCAGGGCTCAGAGGGTCCTGATCGGTGGGGCAGAGTCCACTTGGAGGCTGGTAGTTAGTGGAGCTCTCCAGGGTTCAGTACTCGGCCCAGTCTTGTTCAACTTGCTCATCAATGACCTGGACGAGGGGAAGGAGTGTACCCTCAGCAAGTTTGCTGATGACACAAAACTGGGAGGAGTCAAACCCCATGCACCAATACAGGCTGGGGGTTGACCTGCTGGAAAGCAGCTCTGCCAAGAGGGACCTGGGAGTCCTGGTGGATGACAGGCTGACCATGAGCCAGCAGTGTGCCCTTGTTGCCAAGAAGGCCAATGGTAACCCGGGGTACATTAAGAGGAGTGCTGCCAGCAGGGCGAGGGAGGTTATCCTCCTCCTCTACTCTGCCCTGGTGAGACCCCACCTGGAGTACTGTGTCCAGTTCTAGGCTCCCCAGTTCAAGAAAGATGAGGAACTCCTAGAAAGAGTCCAGAGGAGGGCAACTAGGATGATTAAGGGACTGGAGCATCTCCCCTACGAGGAAAGGCTGAGGGAGTTGGGCTTGTTCAGCCTGAAGAAGAGAAGACAGAGAGGACCTCATCGATACATACAAATATCTTAAGGACAGAAATCACAAGGATGGAGCCAGACTCTTTGCAGTGGTGTCCAGCAACAGGACAAGGGGCAATGGGCACAAACTGAAACATAGGAGGTTTCAGTGGAATATGAGGAAAAACTTCTTTACTCTGAGGGTGACAGAGCACTGGAACAGGCTGCCCAGGGAGGTTGTGGAGTCTCCTTCTCTGGAGATATTCAAAGCCCGCCTGGATGAAGTCCTGTGTAGCATGCTCTAGGAGAACCTGCTTTAGCAGGAGGGTTGGACTAGATGATCTCCCGAGGTACCTTCCAACCCTTGTGATTCTGTGACTTTATTTTTAGATAGTACTAAAATAAAGCAATAGATATTTTTAAAATCACCCAACAGTATGTAGAACATAAACAAATATTCAATATAATTCATTTGGATCCTGAAAGATATCGCAGTCTTTATTCACAGTACCTTGTTGACCTCTGCTAAAAAGGCTTACACAACTACTCAATGATAGTTACTTGCATGGACTGCAACTCTGCAGAACAAACAAGACAGATAAATTCTTACTGTGATCTATTCAGACTGCAAATGTGTTTACAGATATGCCTTGTTGTGGTGAACCTGGTAAAAAAAAATGCCGTCAAAAGAGTAAAATATAGTCTAGAGCCTGACATAATGTAAGCTACAGTCAGCCCACAGATGTCCATGCAGACTCAAAACCTTACAATGAGACCCCGATTCTAAAATACTTTACAGAACTACCACAGCTCTCTGCCTCCCAACACATATTCTCCTCCTTATTCCCTACCCTTCATCACCTACCTTATTCCCTACCTCCACCATGATAAATCTGGATGCTGGGTCCCACTTCCTCTTCATTTTTACAGCAGTGTAGCTCCAGTTACCCCACCTTGGCACACTAATCAGAGTACAACAAGGCTCTTTCACATCATTTGAGTAACTGCATACTGACTGTCACCACCACAGCATTTTTACTGGTCTGTCAATTACAGAGTCATTTGGCAGCAATGTTTGCTCACTCCGAGTTTTTTTTTCCTGGGGGGGGAGGAGGGGTAGCACGGTTTTCGGGTTGATTTTTTGTGTTGTTTCAGGTTTGGATTTGTTTTTTCTTTTTTTAATTCATTAGCAGTCTGTTCCTAAATACTTGACTATGGCTTGCACATCAAGGACGAGATCCAAAGCTCTGCTAATTCTACAGTCATCTTTCCACTGCAGTGACTTCGGGATTAAAAGTATTAAGATGGTACTAAGCAAAGAGCGACAAATATCAGAGGCTACTCAACACAGGTCATAGAAGACGTTAGTACACGGGCTTACATTGGGCACGTACCTGCTCCTTTCCTGCAGTCCTCCGTGTCCCTACCTCACCAGCACTACAATACTCAGTTTCTTCCCTACTCTTTAATATTTCCCCTAGCTTCTTTGCTGCAATGGTCTCTTTAGTTCAACTTCTGACAAAGAGCATGTCAGCAGCAGAGACTTGCTCACACTAACTGATTTGTTAGGGGGGCATTAAATACACTGAATGACTATCAAAGTTAGACTTGTATCTTCTTTCTCATTACAGCAAACCCTTCCCATGCCTGTCTGACAACCTGTAGCCCAAATGGTTTTGTGGCTTATTTGGCATCTCACATTTCTTATTTCTCAAACCAACCATCTTTCCCATTACATTCCATGTCTATTTTCTCAGCAAAGTTAAATCCTCCTTACATTCCTGAAAACAAACTGATACAAACTGCAGTACTCTATCAGCTCCTTTAACTTTCTAATCAATTTATAATGCACAAATTAATACCACCTTATTGTCTGAACATACATTTTGAAGGCTTCCCTAAGGCTAACAATCAAAGAACAAACTCTTTCTCCATAAGACACAGAACTTTCAAGTACATCCTGAAGCTCTTAACATGAAATCCTGCATGCCCACAGTACTCAATAGCTCAGTGTGCTGCTGAGCACACTCAGGCTGTTCAAAGGCAGTTATGCTGTTGGAAGGCAAGTGCATATGGAGAGGACTGTGCTGACATGCATTTCCATGCCCAACTGTTGCACAGATACAGCCAACACACCACATTTCAGAAATAATACTGAAAAATTACAAAGAAAACAGTTTTCAGAATTGCTATTGCCATTTTTTTTTAATAAGGCTTTCATAGATACACATCAAAGCTATGTTCTTGCTACCATCATGAGCCATCTCCTATACAAGCCAAGCACAAAAAAAATATTTTACTGGATTCAGATTTTTTGCTTCGTAACGATAATCCTAATGTTGATAAGATTATCAGCATTATGGGCACGAGGCCAGTTGAGAATAAGGTGTCATTTTAATAAGCCCTACCCCTCCAGTGAGAGATAACAGTGCCCTGGAACACGCTCAATATTCTTATTGTGAACACTTATGCATCTGAATGCTTCACAATACTCATGATCGCAACAGGGAAATATTTAACATTTGGTAAACTGAGGCAGAAGAAAGCAAATTCTCTGCTAAAGGAAGGACTTAAACTCCCATGTGTTTATACTAATCAGCAGACCATCCTTGTTTTCAGGACTGAAATGGACAAAATGGATGGGAGGAGAAAGCACCTACCACAAACTGATACCCAAATTACACTTAAAATTCAGGTCTCCTGAAAACCAATTTACCAAAAAAAAAAAAACCACCAATTTAGGTTACACCAGGTATTGTACTAATATTCTCCTACTGAAATGAGGCTTGAAACAAAAGTTTACCAAACAGAAGTGGTTGATAATCAGGCATGGAAGCCTCACCTGAATGAGATAGTGAGAACATAAACTGAGAAGCTCCAGCAGCTGCAAATGACTCCCAGCTGCTAGGACATCCTGTATCACCCCTGGTTCCAAGAGGATCTGTAAAGAAGAAAATGGAAGGTTTGTCAGAGTACTTGTAGAAAATACTACAGGCCTTTGTTGTTTCAGACATTTAAGTCAACATAAATAATAGAAAGAGTACAACTAACCATACAGAGAAGTCTTTGCAGGATGGCGGCAGAGTTTTTAAAGTTCACCTGAATTGCCCAAAGGATTTTTAAGTGGATTTTCCTGTGAGAGTCCATAAGGCACATTATGTCCCAAATCCTTTAAAACTAAATGCATGTTGTTCATTTAAAAAGGAGGCTTTTCAAAATAAAAAACCTCCCTTTTGTTATCCATATACCTGGATGCTTCCATATATACTGATGAATCAGGCCAACAGAACTGACTCAGAAGTCTCCAGTATTAATACTATTCACGCTTGTAAAAAAAAAAAAAAAAAAAAAAAAAAAAGATACAGGCTAGGAACACCCTTCCCATTCTGCTTGGTACCACTTCACAATTTTCCTAACCACTGTCTTCATTTTACAGAGCAAGGCTGTGAAGACAGAGTGAGCATGCTGCTGGGGAACTGCCAGAAAGGGCTTAGAAAGCAAGACTGATTATCCTGTCACTTGCTCACATGAAACTCCTACTCATTTCAATTAAAATCACACACAGGCAGCAGCCAGGATAATTGGGCCTCAGCTCCTAGCTTGCTGTCTTGGGGTCAGCTTGTTAGAGCATCCCTTTCAGGACACAAAATGGTCTTTGGGAATACAGACACTGGTCAACTTCTTACCAGCAATCACAGTACAAGCTATCCAAACTAATATTACTTAAATATAAGTGGTGCAGCATCCAACAAAAATCAGAAATGCATGAGAAAAAAAAATTTTTTCAAAGATACTCCATTTATGCAGGGTTTTATCCTTGCTGTATTTCCCCTGGCAACTTTGGTTTCACACCACATGAGGTCAGTCTCTCACTGCTCCACAGGGAAGTAAACCTTTTTTCAGATCCTTTTTCTTCTGCCCACACAATTTAGTTTTATCTCACAGCATGTCTCAAATGCAGTGGAATAAGAACGATGGCAAACAAAAGGAAAGACGCTCACCTGTATCTTTTGCAGTTAAACTGTTTTTGAGGGAAATGAAAAAAAAAATATGCATTTCTTCAAGCAAACCCACGAATTATCTCCAACATAATGGATATATTAGGAACAGAAGAGAATGTGATTGATTCTTGTTTACATCATGAACTCATTTACATTGAGTTCTGTCAGTGTATGACATGCTTACAGCTTGTGCAAATCATACCAGGTTTTAAGTGAACACATATGTAATTTACATACTGTATAAACATTCCTTATCTAGCCAGAAAGACATGTAAGGAACTTAATGTAAATGAAAATCAGACCCAGCACAATCCAGGTTTTTGGCTGCTGCTAACGAGGTTGCTATGCATGACAAGAGGTAGTTCAATGGAAAGCTAGAAAGGATTTCAGTTACAAAAACATCTCCAATAGGTATATTTAAGAAAAATGAGCAGCACTGTCAAATATTTTCAAGTGAGAACTCAAGGTCAGACTGACATAACAAGCTGGTTTAGACCTTGCAGTGTTTGTAATTCTGACATCATTCACACTGAGGAAGTTGTCATCTGATGTCCTATTACTTACTAAGTGCCAGCTACCAGCTTAGCATTGTTAGACACAGTATGAAGAGAACCAGAACCCTAAGCAGATTACTACCTTGTAGGCATAGATAAACTATATTTAACTGTGATAATATTAATGTATTTTAAAGCTACAGCAATCCACTTACAAATAATACCGGTAGCATTATGAGATGAGAAGTAGGACAAGAGACAAGAAGGGTGACTGGTTACTACTTAGAGGTGATTTGCAGGAAGTCAGCGACAAAAGTTCTTTTCAAGGTGGCAGACATATTTCTTACAGCTTTTGTATACCATGCAAGATTTATTCTGCTGAGATAACATATTCACCTTTGTGTTTCTCAAGATAACTGAAGAAACTCTATGTCGCCTCTTCCCAAGATTTTGCCTTAAATGGAACTATCAGAATTTTTATTTATTACTCATTTGGATACAAGCAAAAATACCAATTCATCTATGCTACATGTTCACCATCAGCAAACTGCATACTGGGGAAACGCACAAGAAAAAAAGAGAACAATAAGTAAAGAAGGAATAAAATATTGCAAGACTTCCTTCTACTAAAACTGGGGTAATTCACAATTATTCCACACTTCTTAGCTTCATTACACTAATACAATTACTTGATTTCTATTATTCACCAGCATAGCTGTTTATATGCTATATAGGCCATCCAGCTGAATCCTAAAAGCAAATGTAAACAAATACCCCCATATGCACACAAGTACACACAGTGACTGACTCTCCTATTCATCTAACCCTCAAAGCAATCACTCTGAGGTCCTCAGAGTAGTGCTTATTGAAAATCACGGGGAGGGAAATTAAAATCTGTTCTGGATTCACACCTTCAAAATGAATCACAAATTATTAGTATGAAAACTAAAGAGAGAAGCTTAATCACTTTCCCTATTCCATCCTCAACCCAAGGTTTACAAGGCATAATTATCAGGGCAGAAACTCAGAGTAATTCGGAACCATCAGCTTCAGATGAACTTTGCAATCTTCACCAGTGAAAGATGTACTTTTGCATGACACATGCCATCTTAAGACTGGTTTCTGTGCTATTTTTGTATTGATTAATTAGATGCAATTCAGGTATTGCACCTGGCTGCATCTTACAATCAATCGTCTATTCAACCCTTATTTCTGAGGATTAACTTTCATTATACTGCCAACTTTTCTCTGGCCCATGATGCTACCCAAGAAAATCGGCTTAACCACCTTCTTCCTGTACATGATGGACAGATCCTGCAGACAGCCCAAGTACCTTACTTTCCCAAGGCACCAGGTCTGACATAGTGCTTGTTTTCAAATTGATCTCCTTTGTCAAGCTATTTTTCTCCTCTCCCACAATGACCGTGTTTTCAAACAGGAATCCAGTTCTTGAAGGCAGCCGTTCTACCCTCCATCATCCCACAAACCCTTCAGAGAGCATGCACTAAATCCAGTTCACTCCCTCTTGTGGTCAGATCCATAAACCAAGGGGTAGAAAGGATGCAAAAATGTGGTGTTTCTTTGCAACTGAATTAAGAGTTCACAAAATCCAGAAAGGCAGACGACACAATTTCTTAGATCCATGTTTCTTAGACATACAGTTTATATGGAAATGCATCCATTTATGCTTCATTGATATATTGAGGAAAGCTGCTTTGCAAATGCAAGAATTGGAAACTTTAATAAATTAAACCTGAGCTTCTGAAGCACAATTCTGAGGCAGAAAAGGGAATTCTGTAATCAGCTCCATTGGCACAGATACACATGGCCCTGAATACTCCCCTGTACATCTACCCTCTGGGCAGCAGTCCTAAAACTGGAATTCATTCTCCCTTCCCCCAAGATTTCCCTCTCCCTTTCCCAAATCACCCTACATCCCGTCCAACCCAGTACATCTTAGGGCTCTGGATAAGAGTGGAAAAGATTAACTGGGATCACACATCCTGCCTCTCTCTTCAATCGGCTTTCTTTGGGAGACTTCTTGGCAACACAGAGCAACTAGCAGCTATGACTTCTTAGGCTAGGAGCAGTATATGAACGACCATCCTTTCTCAAGGACAACTACTCATGTCCCACTTCCACATTGCCCAGACCAAGAACATCTTCCTACTCTTTAAATGCCTCCTGCCCCGATACAATCAACAAACCAGTACAGGCCAACAAAAAAATTGTATGGTTGCAGCAAAGAGGGCAATAATGGAAAAAAGTGAGGAGGGAACTTCTGAAATTGTCCTTCCCAAAGAAACTTACAACCTAAGGGAGAAGGTAAAGTCCAGATTAACTGCCACCTCTATGGAGTCTCATGGAATTTATATCTGGAAAGAACAATTAAATAATTTAATCTATTCCCTGTATGTTGCAGGCCATTATATTTCATCCAAGCACTTTTAAAGACACTGAAGCTACTTTAGGCCCAAGGAGGCTAAACTGTGTGCCTGGACAAAGATGGAGAGATTGAGGATGCACTTCTATCACCTTCATTCCAGCTACTCATTTATATCCCTGGATTTCCTTCTCATTTCCATACAGCTGTTTGTGAGGCCATGGAATAAGTGAGGTGGCAGCATGATTCACATCAAAAATAAACCAGCATTATGCTGTAGCAGCAAGGAAATACGTAATGTCATGTCAGAAAATTCCAGAAAGTAAACCATATGGAATTTAACACAGAAAACAAGAAAAAAAACCAAAAAACAAACCCTTAACATTCCTTCCAGTCTGATGCAAAGAAAATTCCTTCTTGACTCCACTTGCAGTGATCAGCATTTCAAACAAGACAGGCATCTAACAAAAGTACCACTTGTTTTTCCCCTCTGGAGACTATTCTGTGTGCTTCAGAACAATCAAAAAAGTAACTTTTCTTTTAGAGCAATTTAGACTGCATTTCACTCACAACCAGTTAGAAATTCTGCCTGTCTCCCTGTTCATTACTGCCTCAGTTGAATCCTGAGCTCCTTGCATGTTGACAAGTGCTGCCTTCAAAGAAGTGTGAGCAGGGGAAGAACGTTCTAGTCCTCTGCAGGCAACTGTCCCAAGACCCGGCATATAATGTTTGATAGTACTCATTGCAAAACCCAGATGTCTCATTAACCCATGCCAGAAGGAATCATGACCAGCATTTCTCTGACTATGTCATAACATTTTTCCAGAAAACTAAATGAAAATCTATGTTAAATGCACAGCATATAAGTCATATAATAACTTGAGTCCTGGTGGATGACAAGCTGACCATGAGCCAGCAATGTGCCCTTGTTGCCAAGAAGGCCAATGGTATCCTGGGGTACATTAAGAGGAGTGCAGCCAGCAGGGCGAAGGAGGTTATCCTCCTCCTCTACTCTGCCCTGGTGAGACCCCACCTGGAGTACTGTGTCCAGTTCTGGGCTCCC